CGCGACGTTCGCACGGGACGATGGCGCGACGATGGGCCTCCCGTAACGACTTCGCATAAAGGTAGTCTTCCCGATATTCCACGTCGAAGAAACGAAAATGGTACGGTCTCGCTTTGCCGGACGGGCCGCGGCCTTCGTAAGCGGCCGAGGAAGAAAAATTGCGATCTCTCTTCCTACGATTAACCGACGTGTACCCGAAACGTTGCCGAAATGAAAGTCTCTCCCGATGCTTCGTTTTGCCTTCTCTTATTTACGACGATCGAGCGGGGGAACTTTTTGCCCGCCAAATCGGCCGCTAACGCAAACCTATCCGCGGCAATTTCGCCGTCGACCTTTGACGACAAAATAGGATAGCGATACTAAGGTTCGGCCGTCGTAACGGCGACATGCCGAACCGTCACCTTTGCGTACCACCTCGAGATTGATAAAGACCCTTATTGCGAATCGGAAAGTGCGGATGGCCAATTTTATTCCCGATTAGCGTCACTCGCAATCGGAGACGCGAACGTTTGGCGCCCGCCTGGCCGTAGGTTCACGTCATCGTGCGCAATTCTGCAAGCCTTTCTTTTTTGTCAGATAAGAAAATGGTGCCGTAAACGTCTCGCGAAAGCGATTGCTCAACTTTCCGGTCCGATTTCCTAATGGAGATGATTAAATTACGTAAATAACCCAATCCCAATTCGAAAAAGGACATTATCGGCGCCCAGCGTCGTTCGTTTCGCGGAACACGGAAAGGCGCGTAGCGTGAATCAAGCGTATTGAAAGAATCGCCATCGGAGAGAGCGAGAGGTAGGCGTAAGCGGAAGCGCGATGCCGATTCTGCACCTTTTGAATCACTATCTCCGGAAATGAACTTGATACTCTCTCTCTCTCTCACTCTCTCTAAGACGCAAACAAACGTAATGGAGCCAAACGGGAAAGTCGATCATGCATTTTCTTTACGTTCCGTTCGATCCGGCAACGCCGAACTTGCAAATTTTTCCTTGGCGCGGCGTGTGTATTATTTCGAATATTTTCCTCATACTATGTCATAAATCCCATATGAAGCGTACGATTATCCCTCAATTACAGCGGTAATTGCATCGTAGAAAGCGAAAGAGCCCTGCGATACTTGCACATTTCATATTAGTGGCAACTCCATATTGGACAAGTAGACAAGTGGGTAATGTTTATTTGCCGCCCAAATTACACTCGCGCGTCAAAATAAACCCGATAATTTTGCAATCAAGCGTATTGTCAGTAAAAAACTGCATTCGGTCAATTTTCATATTTTGTTAATTTCGCCAAAATAGAAAATAAACTCTTCCAGCTTTTAGACATGCTTTCAAAAAAAATTATCGGTAACTTTGACGCACTTGTGCAATTACCTACGAAAACGACGAAAGGACTGGCATAACGGTACCGCGCCATCGATTAGGAAGTTCCCTATCATTGACGATGAAATGCATTATTAGGGACGCGCGCAATCCGCAGGGCTCGTATGATTATTCGAAAAAAAAGGCGACGGAATACAGTTTACGCATTGTCGCAAAAGTGCATATCTAATGAGTGGACGGTAACTTATAATCGCTTCAGAAAATTTGTACCTCTTCGATTACCGGTTATAAATGTAGTCTATTACTTTGGCATTTTAATCACAAATACCTCTATCTTTAAGCTTACGGCCTACACGTGGCGTAATCTACGGTTAACGGAACGTACCCCCAAAATATTCCATCTATTGGTCGGCATTTTTTTAAAATCGCACGTAAATTCTTTACTTTCTCTCGTGAAAATGAACTCGTGGTTCTGAAAAGAACCGTTTTTATTTTTGTTCCAGCAAACGACAAGACAGACGAACGGGACCTCTTACTTGGAGCTCGTGTACTTGGTCACCGCCTTGGTTCCTTCGCTGACGGCGTGCTTGGCGAGCTCTCCGGGCAACAGGAGCCTGACGGCGGTCTGAATTTCCCGACTCGTTATCGTCGAACGCTTGTTGTAATGCGCGAGACGGGACGCCTCCGCCGCGATGCGCTCGAAAATATCGTTGACGAAGCTGTTCATGATGCTCATCGCCTTACTGCTGATGCCGGTATCGGGATGCACCTGCTTGAGAACCTTGTAGATGTAGATGGCGTAGCTCTCCTTCCTCCTTCGCTTTTTCTTCTTATCGGACTTCGAAATGTTCTTCTGGGCCTTTCCCGCCTTCTTGGCGGCCTTTCCGCTAGTTTTCGGTGGCATATTTTGCAAATTGCGCGAAGAAAAAGTGTTAAAATTTCAACCGTACCGCACGGACGCCAGGTGAAAACTGAGCGATCCCCGGATATTACTCACCTACTTACCGACTTCGCGCGGTACTCGAAAGCACGCCCCAATCACCCCATTGGACGACAAAGTCGCCTACATAAGCGCTCGTGGCGCATTTCGCTCCGTCAGTTTCCATTGACGATCGCAAGTGAGCGTTACTCAGCACGTTGACAAATTTACTCGTCTAATCCATTTCGTTTTTACTCGATATAACATTTCACAATGTCCGGTCGCGGCAAGGGCGGTAAAGTCAAGGGAAAGGCGAAGTCTAGGTCGAGCAGGGCGGGACTTCAATTTCCCGTCGGAAGGATTCACAGGCTGCTGAGGAAGGGAAATTACGCGGAGCGAGTCGGCGCCGGCGCTCCCGTCTACCTCGCCGCCGTCATGGAGTACCTGGCCGCCGAAGTGCTCGAATTGGCCGGCAACGCCGCTAGAGACAACAAAAAGACGCGTATCATACCGCGCCACCTGCAACTCGCCATTAGAAACGACGAGGAATTGAACAAGCTCCTGTCGGGCGTCACCATCGCCCAGGGTGGCGTTCTCCCTAACATTCAGGCGGTACTCTTGCCAAAGAAGACCGAAAAAAAGGCGTAAGAAGTTCGACGACGTCTCACCGATCGTAAAAATCAATCGGCCCTTCTCAGGGCCACCACTTTAAATTCAAAATAGAAAAAAGAGAAATGCGACAAAAACTTAACTTTTATTTTTATTCAAATTACCACAGTTTGTGTAGCATGTGTCTATAATTTGTTAATTGGCTCTTTAACGGCCGGCGTGTGTAGGAGGGAGAGAGAGAGAGAGAGAGAGAAAGTGAGTTTGTACGTAACTCGCATTTCGCCGATTAACCGTTCTGTTTTTCGCGTTACGTTATCGTTTATTGATAAACCGAAATCGAGTAACGAAATGGGGAGGGTTTGTCGCCGACGGTCCACCTTATTTTAAACATATCGCGATTGTCGAGTTTCTCGTCCGTTTATGGCGACTTTGTACGGGAAGTTCCAAGGTTGCGAGATATTACGCAACGACACGATTCGGTTATGCCTCTTTCTCAAATTTTCTCATGTAAAATCTTCTGGTGGTTCTGAAAAGAACCGTTTTTTTTTTTTGTCGAATGTCTCGCTACGTCCGCTCTGGATGGTCGTCGAATTTAACCGCCGAAACCGTATAGCGTGCGACCCTGTCTCTTCAACGCGTACACGACGTCCATGGCGGGGACGGTCTTCCGCTTGGCGTGTTCCGTGTAGGTGACCGCGTCGCGGATGACGTTCTCCAGGAAGACCTTAAGAACCCCTCGCGTCTCTTCGTAGATCAGACCGGAGATGCGCTTGACCCCTCCACGCCGGGCCAGACGTCGAATGGCGGGTTTCGTTATTCCCTGAATGTTATCGCGGAGCACCTTGCGATGACGTTTCGCGCCTCCCTTTCCGAGACCTTTGCCGCCCTTGCCGCGTCCGGTCATTATTGCGTCTGTCGATTGAAATGTAGTCAAAAAAAAAAGTGTAAATGTATAGGGCGAGATGTCCTCCTCCCTGTACGAATGCGAAGCGATCACTAACCTTCCCGCCTTGCGACGGAACGTTTTTATCCTCTAAAAGTCGGCACGCCCCCTCGAACCTCGCGTTCGCCAATCGCGAAGCGTGGCGCGGTCATAAAACGCCGAGCGAAAATATTTCTCCCGTCAGTGCACCGTCGTCTCTCTTTTGTTGCGCTTCATTCGTCCAGTCGTCATTATTATTATCGATCATGGCCAGAACCAAGCAGACCGCTCGCAAATCCACCGGCGGCAAGGCGCCCCGTAAGCAGTTGGCGACCAAGGCCGCTCGCAAAAGCGCTCCCGCCACGGGCGGCGTCAAGAAGCCCCATAGGTACCGTCCCGGTACGGTGGCGCTTCGCGAGATTCGCCGTTATCAGAAGAGCACGGAGTTGCTCATTCGCAAGCTTCCCTTCCAGAGATTGGTGCGCGAGATCGCCCAGGACTTCAAGACCGATCTACGTTTCCAGAGTTCCGCGGTGATGGCGTTACAGGAAGCGAGCGAGGCGTATTTGGTGGGCCTTTTCGAAGACACCAACCTCTGCGCCATTCACGCGAAACGAGTCACGATCATGCCCAAGGACATCCAACTGGCGAGACGCATTCGCGGCGAGCGCGCCTAAGGAGGAGGAGGAGGAGGAAAGGCCGGAGGAGATTTTAGAAGAAAAAAAAACGGTTCTTTTAAGAACCACCACCGACTTTGTAAGATAAGAAAGAAAAAATAGAACCCGCTCGTATACTTACCAGTCGCGTGTTACTTTTAAACATTTCTTATTATTTCGTTCGGAGGGAAGGCCGGTCTTAAATATAATCCGCGCGTTTTGTTCGGGGGATGGCGGGCGGCCCGATTGTAATTATCATCGCTCGAGTTGCACCACCTTCGTGAAACGATCTACGTATAGAATAAATAGACAGATATTTCGAAAAGCGGTCGATGCGTTGATCTTGGACTTGTCCCGTGTAACATCTAACCTCACTCGTTCTACTCCGTTCGATTACTACCCCCTAACCTAATCTCACCTACACGAACCTATAAGACGGCCTCGATGTGTTCGTAGGTTTAGACCGGTTCTTTCTCTCTTGTAAATCTCTAAATTGTGGCCCTGAAAAGGGCCATTTATTTGTGTTCGAGAGGCGTCTCCTCGCCGCGAAATTATTTCTTCTTGGGCGAGCCGGTCGCCGGTTTTTTCGTCTGCTTCGCCTTCTTCGGTTTGGGGGCCTTCGGCTTTTTCGTGGGCACCTTCGTCGTCTTCTTGGCCTTCGAGGGAGACTTCGGCTTCGACGGAGAGGAGGCGGCCGCCGCCTGCGTCTCCGGAGCGGAAGACGCCGACGCGCCGGTCCTCTTCTTCGCGGCCGCCGCCTTTGCCACCTTCCTCTGGGGAGATGCGGTCGCCGGCGCCTTCTTTTTCTTCGGGGACGATTTCGGTTTCTTCACCGACGCCGCGGGCGAGGCCTTCTTCGCGGGGGAGACCGCGGCCTTCTGGCGTTTCGTCGCGGCCACCGCCGCCGCGACCCTCTTTTTCCTTCCCTTCGCCGCCGAACCGCCGGAAGACGGAGAGGCCGCGTCGGCCGCCAGCTTGAAGGATCCCGACGCGCCTTTGCCCTTCGTTTGGATTAGGGCGCCGGAGGCGACCGCCCCCTTGATGTACTTCTTAATGAACGGCGCCATCTTTTCGGCGTCGATCTTGTACGTCGTCACGAGGTACTTCTTGATCGCCTGAAGCGAGGATCCGCCGCGCTCCTTGAGACTCTTGATCGCCCCGTTGACCATGTCGGCCGTCGGAGGATGGGACGGCTTCGAGCGGGCGCCCCCCTTCGTTCCCTTCTTCTGCTGCTGCGAGGAGCTCGCGACCGCCTTCTTGGCGGCGGCGGGAGGAGAGGCTCCCCCGCCACCGGTAGACGCTTCCGACGCCTGATTCGCGACCGCCGTGTCTGCCATGATTACGCTCGTCGGGGAAGATGAGATCGTATATATATTATAATGTTATGACGTATGATAAAAAAAACGTCGCCGAGGATACCGCGCTGAGTTAGAACGTGCGTTTGTATGAGAGTCGCGTTCGAATCTCGGTAACCCCCTCGAAGCGCTCGGACCGCTTACGGAATCCCCGCGAACAGCGGCGCGCGAGCCGTCTTCTCCTTCAACGGTTCCCTTGCTCGAGATGCTTCCGTTTCGACGACCGCGACGCCGAACAGCCCGCCGTTTCGGCGTCCGCCCGTCGCGTCTCGCCCGCCGAAGGACCGGTCTCTCGACTACTCGATTCGCGACGCGCTGTCGGGCGGCCCGCGCCTCCGGCGCGCACCCTAACCGACGGAGGCGGCGAGTCGAAAAAGCGCCGACCTACCTTCGCCGAGTCGTCGAGACGCCGGCGAGAACCGGGCGTTCCGGAAGTACGCTTCCCTTCGACGCCCAGATCTATCTAGACGAAACGACGACGGTCCCGTCGGTCCCCCGTCGCAATAGCACCGCTCCGCGACGTTCGCACGGGACGATGGCGCGACGATGGGCCTCCCGTAACGACTTCGCATAAAGGTAGTCTTCCCGATATTCCACGTCGAAGAAACGAAAATGGTACGGTCTCGCTTTGCCGGACGGGCCGCGGCCTTCGTAAGCGGCCGAGGAAGAAAAATTGCGATCTCTCTTCCTACGATTAACCGACGTGTACCCGAAACGTTGCCGAAATGAAAGTCTCTCCCGATGCTTCGTTTTGCCTTCTCTTATTTACGACGATCGAGCGGGGGAACTTTTTGCCCGCCAAATCGGCCGCTAACGCAAACCTATCCGCGGCAATTTCGCCGTCGACCTTTGACGACAAAATAGGATAGCGATACTAAGGTTCGGCCGTCGTAACGGCGACATGCCGAACCGTCACCTTTGCGTACCACCTCGAGATTGATAAAGACCCTTATTGCGAATCGGAAAGTGCGGATGGCCAATTTTATTCCCGATTAGCGTCACTCGCAATCGGAGACGCGAACGTTTGGCGCCCGCCTGGCCGTAGGTTCACGTCATCGTGCGCAATTCTGCAAGCCTTTCTTTTTTGTCAGATAAGAAAATGGTGCCGTAAACGTCTCGCGAAAGCGATTGCTCAACTTTCCGGTCCGATTTCCTAATGGAGATGATTAAATTACGTAAATAACCCAATCCCAATTCGAAAAAGGACATTATCGGCGCCCAGCGTCGTTCGTTTCGCGGAACACGGAAAGGCGCGTAGCGTGAATCAAGCGTATTGAAAGAATCGCCATCGGAGAGAGCGAGAGGTAGGCGTAAGCGGAAGCGCGATGCCGATTCTGCACCTTTTGAATCACTATCTCCGGAAATGAACTTGATACTCTCTCTCTCTCTCTCTCTCACTCTCTCTAAGACGCAAACAAACGTAATGGAGCCAAACGGGAAAGTCGATCATGCATTTTCTTTACGTTCCGTTCGATCCGGCAACGCCGAACTTGCAAATTTTTCCTTGGCGCGGCGGGTGTATTATTTCGAATATTTTCCTCATACTATGTCATAAATCCCATATGAAGCGTACGATTATCCCTCAATTACAGCGGTAATTGCATCGTAGAAAGCGAAAGAGCCCTGCGATACTTGCACATTTCATATTAGTGGCAACTCCATATTGGACAAGTAGACAAGTGGGTAATGTTTATTTGCCGCCCAAATTACACTCGCGCGTCAAAATAAACCCGATAATTTTGCAATCAAGCGTATTGTCAGTAAAAAACTGCATTCGGTCAATTTTCATATTTTGTTAATTTCGCCAAAATAGAAAATAAACTCTTCCAGCTTTTAGACATGCTTTCAAAAAAAATTATCGGTAACTTTGACGCACTTGTGCAATTACCTACGAAAACGACGAAAGGACTGGCATAACGGTACCGCGCCATCGATTAGGAAGTTCCCTATCATTGACGATGAAATGCATTATTAGGGACGCGCGCAATCCGCAGGGCTCGTATGATTATTCGAAAAAAAAGGCGACGGAATACAGTTTACGCATTGTCGCAAAAGTGCATATCTAATGAGTGGACGGTAACTTATAATCGCTTCAGAAAATTTGTACCTCTTCGATTACCGGTTATAAATGTAGTCTATTACTTTGGCATTTTAATCACAAATACCTCTATCTTTAAGCTTACGGCCTACACGTGGCGTAATCTACGGTTAACGGAACGTACCCCCAAAATATTCCATCTATTGGTCGGCATTTTTTTAAAATCGCACGTAAATTCTTTACTTTCTCTCGTGAAAATGAACTCGTGGTTCTGAAAAGAACCGTTTTTATTTTTGTTCCAGCAAACGACAAGACAGACGAACGGGACCTCTTACTTGGAGCTCGTGTACTTGGTCACCGCCTTGGTTCCTTCGCTGACGGCGTGCTTGGCGAGCTCTCCGGGCAACAGGAGCCTGACGGCGGTCTGAATTTCCCGACTCGTTATCGTCGAACGCTTGTTGTAATGCGCGAGACGGGACGCCTCCGCCGCGATGCGCTCGAAAATATCGTTGACGAAGCTGTTCATGATGCTCATCGCCTTACTGCTGATGCCGGTATCGGGATGCACCTGCTTGAGAACCTTGTAGATGTAGATGGCGTAGCTCTCCTTCCTCCTTCGCTTTTTCTTCTTATCGGACTTCGAAATGTTCTTCTGGGCCTTTCCCGCCTTCTTGGCGGCCTTTCCGCTAGTTTTCGGTGGCATATTTTGCAAATTGCGCGAAGAAAAAGTGTTAAAATTTCAACCGTACCGCACGGACGCCAGGTGAAAACTGAGCGATCCCCGGATATTACTCACCTACTTACCGACTTCGCGCGGTACTCGAAAGCACGCCCCAATCACCCCATTGGACGACAAAGTCGCCTACATAAGCGCTCGTGGCGCATTTCGCTCCGTCAGTTTCCATTGACGATCGCAAGTGAGCGTTACTCAGCACGTTGACAAATTTACTCGTCTAATCCATTTCGTTTTTACTCGATATAACATTTCACAATGTCCGGTCGCGGCAAGGGCGGTAAAGTCAAGGGAAAGGCGAAGTCTAGGTCGAGCAGGGCGGGACTTCAATTTCCCGTCGGAAGGATTCACAGGCTGCTGAGGAAGGGAAATTACGCGGAGCGAGTCGGCGCCGGCGCTCCCGTCTACCTCGCCGCCGTCATGGAGTACCTGGCCGCCGAAGTGCTCGAATTGGCCGGCAACGCCGCTAGAGACAACAAAAAGACGCGTATCATACCGCGCCACCTGCAACTCGCCATTAGAAACGACGAGGAATTGAACAAGCTCCTGTCGGGCGTCACCATCGCCCAGGGTGGCGTTCTCCCTAACATTCAGGCGGTACTCTTGCCAAAGAAGACCGAAAAAAAGGCGTAAGAAGTTCGACGACGTCTCACCGATCGTAAAAATCAATCGGCCCTTCTCAGGGCCACCACTTTAAATTCAAAATAGAAAAAAGAGAAATGCGACAAAAACTTAACTTTTATTTTTATTCAAATTACCACAGTTTGTGTAGCATGTGTCTATAATTTGTTAATTGGCTCTTTAACGGCCGGCGTGTGTAGGAGGGAGAGAGAGAGAGAGAGAGAGAAAGTGAGTTTGTACGTAACTCGCATTTCGCCGATTAACCGTTCTGTTTTTCGCGTTACGTTATCGTTTATTGATAAACCGAAATCGAGTAACGAAATGGGGAGGGTTTGTCGCCGACGGTCCACCTTATTTTAAACATATCGCGATTGTCGAGTTTCTCGTCCGTTTATGGCGACTTTGTACGGGAAGTTCCAAGGTTGCGAGATATTACGCAACGACACGATTCGGTTATGCCTCTTTCTCAAATTTTCTCATGTAAAATCTTCTGGTGGTTCTGAAAAGAACCGTTTTTTTTTTTTTGTCGAATGTCTCGCTACGTCCGCTCTGGATGGTCGTCGAATTTAACCGCCGAAACCGTATAGCGTGCGACCCTGTCTCTTCAACGCGTACACGACGTCCATGGCGGGGACGGTCTTCCGCTTGGCGTGTTCCGTGTAGGTGACCGCGTCGCGGATGACGTTCTCCAGGAAGACCTTAAGAACCCCTCGCGTCTCTTCGTAGATCAGACCGGAGATGCGCTTGACCCCTCCACGCCGGGCCAGACGTCGAATGGCGGGTTTCGTTATTCCCTGAATGTTATCGCGGAGCACCTTGCGATGACGTTTCGCGCCTCCCTTTCCGAGACCTTTGCCGCCCTTGCCGCGTCCGGTCATTATTGCGTCTGTCGATTGAAATGTAGTCAAAAAAAAAAGTGTAAATGTATAGGGCGAGATGTCCTCCTCCCTGTACGAATGCGAAGCGATCACTAACCTTCCCGCCTTCGTTTGGTGAGCTGGATGGCCGCAGGCCATCCATATTTCAGCAGCCCTAGCTGTTTAGCTTTTACTGCTTGCTGGTTAGTTGTTCATGTAGTCTTGTTTGTTGTTTCTGAGGGTGTGCGTGTTGCTCTTGGAGCGATGTCCTATTTCCATCTCTGTTCCACCAGTGAGGATTGTTAGGCAAGGGTTCCAACGGGCTGCGTCACCTCTTGCTGACGCGGTTGGTGGGAACTAGAGTGGTTGAGGATTATTCGTTTTCCTGCAGCACCCTCCTTGGCCGCTTGTACCAGCCACAGGAGCGATGTCTTTGATGTGCTGGAGGTCAGAGTTGTCCATTCGTTGGTATACTTTTTCGGCCAGCGATCGAGTGTGTTCGGCGAGGGTGTCCATTTGCAGGTCCTGCCTGATGGTGGTGTTCGAAACAAAGTAGGGGGCTCTGGTAATCGCGCGCAGCGCGGTGGATTGTACCGCTTCCAATGCGGTGGAGTTGGACTTCGAAACATACGCCTTCCAGCCTGCAGAGGCGTATGTCAGCACGGGGCGAACGTAGCTCTTGACCAGGTGTACCTTCGTTGTTGGCGCCAGCGCTGGTGATGATAGTAGGGGGTACAACCTGGATCTTGCCCTCCGTCCTTTGGCGATCGTGTCTGCTGCGTGTTGCGTGAAATTTAGTCGCCGGTCGATTAGGACTCCGAGGTACCGG